TAAATGTTTCATCTGCTCACTATTATGTAGGCCATTCCAATTCTTGGCATGTTTTTCAACATGGTCATTTTGCTGGTCACACAAGAATTGGTCAGGGTACAGATTTTGTCCTTGCTCATAATCCTATAAATGAATAAGAAAATTAACATTTGCTCTCTGAAAATTCAAAATTTTTCTAACTCTCACGGTAGAACTACTTCAGATGAATAGCAGAGCATGCTGCATATGGTAAATCTACTTCTCTAGTGAATTTAAAGAATATCTAGTACGTAATCATCCACAAGTACTCTCTATTCATTATATCACAGTTTACACAAGCTTACGTTTTGAGCATCAGCTATCAACAGATGATCATTCCACCTTCCATCAGGCTTTCGAGCTTCCTGTGATCTAGAAAAAGACAAAAAGCTTAGTAATGGTACTTAAAAAAAAAAAAGAAACACCAACACAACAACAACAACAAAAGCCCACTTCATTAAATTAAGAGGTGCCCCAACCTGCAGTACAGCAGGCCTTTTACTTAATTGCTTTCCATACACCTTTTTTAATAGGGTGTATGATGATAGAACAAGTGGAAATAGCTTCAAGCTCAAAGAGGGTAGATTAAGGTTGGATAAAAGGAAAAAGACTTTTACAGTGAGAGTGGTGAGGCACTGGAACAAGTTGGCTACAGATGTGGTGGATGTCCCATCCCTGGAGGCTTTCAAGGCTGGATCAAGCCCTGACCACCCTGATCTAGCTGTGCGTGCCCCCATTCATTGTAGGGGAGTTGCACGAGATGATCTTTAAAGGCCCTTTCCATCTCTAAGAATTCTATGATCAGCTGAGATTTGGTTCTATTCTCAAAAGCACGACTTAAGAAATAATTTTAAAAATGTAGTACAAAAAGTCTTACTGCTCCTCAGTCTCATGAATGCTAGAGTCCGAATAGCTGGAGAGCTGGTCTCCACTGTCCTCCAGCATATCATGGGGAAGGTCTGTCAACAGCTGTTGCAACTGAAACAGAACAAACAACATGCATTCAACTAAAGTCGGGCAGACATATATTAAATAAGCTGCTAGCACAAAATCCTGTTTTTCTCCCTTCATTGAAAAAGAAGTCACTTGTTCACAGCACAGGAACTTCCCCACCAGGCTTCACAGACTATTTATTAACCTAGGGATCTTTCTAGCAAATTTTTTGGTGCAGATCTTTTCCTAGCAAGAGATAAGTGAAAGGCCACCATGTAGACATAGTGAATAGGGAATGAGGAAGTGGTTCTTCATTTTTTTTTCTTAGATTGTCAGATTACAGTTGTTGCCAAGTAATTACAATACATGAAAAAGCTATGAACAATGCAAAAAGTAGGTGACAGTAGCTTTTAGCATTCTATCTACTGCCTGGGCAAGAGATGAGCAAGGCCTTCCAGCCTCCACATGTAACATTGCAGGGCTCGTTAGATGCATCATCTTCTCATCTCTTCAATTCTTACATCACTCTGCAAAACACAGCCCGCACTGTTCTACATTCTCTTTATAAGAGTAAAACGTAAATTAAAAAATAAGAACAAGAAATGCTGGGATACTAGTTACACAAGCCTTCAGATTAACTTTTGTTTAACCTCTTGCTCTCTCGCATAGTCCTCTTGGTCATAGTCTTCATCTTCATGCTGAGTCTGTAGAGCTCCACTATCAAAGTCGAGAGACATTGTGCTCTAACAGTATTTTCCAGTACCCAGGAAAACCTATCACAAGACAGGAAAATATCACACGTGAGGAAAAGGAATGAAATACATTCCAAAAAGCTCCTAAATTAAGGAGCCAAACAGACAAATGTCTTTTTGAAAGTAACGCTGCACGTTACATGTATCACCCGCTTGAATTTGCTTTCCAGTATGAGCAATACTTCTTATTTCTAAGAATTCACCATTTAAAGCCAATTACCCGGGCGCTTTCATCACGAAGTCGCTATACCTCTCTTAAGACACTCGTGCTTCACTTATTCCTAGGCACCGATCGCGCCCTGCTCCAAGCAGAAGCGCGCTACAGCTCGGCGAAGGGCCGGGCCGCTCCAGGTGAAAGCGCTTCGCGGTGAGAGCCAGCAAGCCCAGCATTACTCGGCACCGGCTCGGGCCCGAGGCTCGGTTCCGCCCCGCAGGCCGGCCGCACCCCGAGGCCCGGCTCCCCCTCAGCGCGGCGCCGGCGCCCCGCAGCCACGCGCGGCGGGAAGAGCTCCCTGCCGGCCTCCGGGAGAAACAGCGGGCCCGGCCGCCGCCACTCACCTGAGGCGCGGGGAGAGACGGCCGCCCGCTTCCCCTCCGACTCGACAACGGCGGCTTTTCCGCATGACAACCGAACGTGCGCCCGCCGCTCTGACAGACAGCCGCGCGCGCCAACCAGCAGCCGGAGCAGCGCCGGATCGCGGCGCAGGAAGAGGCGAGAGGCCTCCGCGCGGCGCCCCGCCCCAGCCGCGCTCGGCTGCGCTGCAGACCCGCCGGTCTGATTGTTTGAAAGCAGGCGCGCGTGGCCGCGGGAACGGGTCCGGTGCGCTGATTGGCTAAGCGGCCGACCAATGGCTGCGGCCTGTTTGCGGAGGGGCGGGCTCTTTCCGGCGATGGGGGAGTGCGCGCGCACGGCGGGCGGGCGGCGGCGCCATCTCGCAGCGGGACGTGGCGGTTGCCGGGCAACGGCGCGGTGGCGTCATCGGAGCGGTGCCCTCGTGACGTCACAGCCCGACGGGACGAAGTCCCGCGATCGTGACCGCGTCACGATGCGAGCTGGCGGCAGAGCCTAAGCGTTTCACACCGTAGGGTGTATTTTGAGGGGCTGCTGTCGCCCCGCTCCTCACACAGCCACGAGCTGACGCCCTGTCCCCTCGCCGTGCTGTGCTGGCAGGGTGGCGGTGGCACAAGATGTCCGCGTTGCCAGGCATTGTCACCTGAAGCCCTGGAGGGGCACGGCCAAAAAGTGGCTGCGCTCAGGGAGCTGTGTGGAAGGAGTCACATGGCCTCCGGGCCTGGCCACAGTCTATTAAAAAACAAAACAAAACAAAACCAAACCAAGTTTCTGTGAGGTCACAAACTCCTCATGCAGAATAGCCTGCAGCAAACATCCAAAATAAATTAAAAAAAAAAAAAAAAAAAAATCACTTTTTTTCCGAACAATGAACGCTTTGTTCAGCGATGAGGAAAATATGTAATAGCTCCATCTGGTGACACTTAGCCTCAGCTGTAAAAAGCATCCTGCCCAGCAGCTGAAAATGGAAGCTGGGGTTGGGGAGAGGCGTCTCAGTCGTTTCTTGTAGTATTTTCATTGATGGAAGCAAGCAGATACGCGTGTTAATGTGTTTCAGTGAAATTTATAGGCGCTTTGAAATGGAATTAACATGCTAAGCCTTGTAAATGGGGCTTTATAGGCAATATTAGCTGTTTTTCCCAGGGGTGCTAGTAACCATTACAACAGAGATTAACCAATGCTTGCAATTTCCTCAGCGTTTCCACTAGTAGTTTTAAATGAAGTCTAAATGAAGTTACTTTAAAAAGAAGTCTGTGTGTGCCAAAAGTTCAGAGTAATCTCCTCAAGATGGAAATTTTGGAGAAGTTTCCACAATTCAGATAATTTTTAATTTGGCATAACTGCACGGGAGATGGCATAATTTACAGGAGGCGATGCACAGAAGAGATAAGCAGCGTTAATAAGCAAGTAGAGGCACATAGGTGTTAGAAACTGAAAACCAAATTCCTGATCTCCACTCCAGAAAAAAGACAGATGCAACCCACAGAGGAACCCACAGTGCAGCAGTGGACGTGGCCTGAAGGAGGCTGCAGCCTATGGAGAGCCCATGTGGGATTAGTTCAGGAAGGATTGCATCCCACAGGGGGGACCTCATGCTACAGCAGGGGCAGAGAGTGGGGAAGAAAGAGTAGCAAAGACAAAGTGTTATGGGCTTATCACCGCCCCTGTTCCTCTGTGCCATTCAGGAAGGAGGTTAGAAGGGGTGGACGGTGTTTTTGTCTTGATTTTAGTTCTCGCTTCTATAGTCTGATATTAATAGACAACAGATTGCATCAATCTCCTTTACGCCGAGTCTGTTTTGCCCACTACAGTAATAGGTGAGTGATCTCCCTGTCCTTATCTCAACCCACAAGCCCTTTTTCTATCATATTTCACTCTCCCATTCTGTTAAGGAGGAGTACTTAGCTGTGATCAGTGTTAAATCAATCACCACACTGTTGCACCAGAACCCAGTTAATTCACTCTTCTTCCCCTTTTCCTTCATAATTTTGCTTCACATACAAAAGATTCAGGAGCAACAAAATAAAGATTCTGGTCTTACTTTTGTTTCAGTTTGTGGTATTCATAGAGCGAGACTTTGACTGTTACACAGTGTTCCAGATGTCACATGAACACTCTGGATGTTTTTGCACTGGTAGAGTGAAAATTGGTGGAGTGAAAAAGTCCTTAAGTCAGTATCTTGACTGCCAAATTAATACAACTTTGAACTCAAGCTATCCCAACTTGAAACAGTATTATTCTAGTCATCAGTAGCTGTGATTTGTGTTATAAAATAAAGTTCTGCACATTTGCTTTCTATGACCTGTCATAAAATTCACCTTCGATGTAAACATCAAAGCCACCTTATGCAGGTCTTCCTGTCCCCTTGGCGTTCCACAGAAGTAGCTATTTTTGCTTCAGTTTGCTCAGTGAACTCACATCAAGCATTTTACACTATATGAAGTTCGGCAAGACCTAAGAATAGAAAGGAAACTTAGAGTTTCTGTCCATCTGACCTTGCACTGGTACAAAACTTTAGCAAGAACTTCTGTTAGGGGCCTATTTTTATTTTTATTTTTTCTCCTCAAAGAATGAAGCATATTTTGTGCCTATTAGCTGAGGAAAAGAGTAAAGCTGATTATGGACTGCTCTAAATGTGGCTCTTTACATCATATTCTCTAAGAAAACTTATGCCCTCAATTTTTTTTTTTTTCAGTCCAGATGACTCCTTTTGTTTTCCAGAGGACAGAGCTCTTACTATACTGTCCCATTTAACGTGAAGATAACTTTTTCTTAATAGTCAAATATTTTCTTCCACTAATTGGTCAAAAATTGTCTGCCTGATGGAACTATGTTGGTAGGCTAGGAGACAGAGAATGTCCCTGCCAGTGCCAGAAGACATTACTTATCTTAAACATACAACTTTCTCAGGCTATTACCTGGACTTTCAGTCTAATTTCCCAGATTCTTCTTCCCTTTTCTTCAGTTACTTACAAAATCAGTTTCTTCAACAGGAAGCCCAAGAAACCTCTGTGAACTCGGAATATACGAGTGTTTGTATTGAGATTATTTATTGTGACCAAACAATAGATACGTTTCCTTTAAAAGACTTGAGGAACAATTGGACTCTACATGAATAAAGGGAAAATCATATATTGTGTTGGAAAGAATACTGAATAAGGGCACATGCAAAGTTCAAACAGTCTTTTAAATAGTTTTCTCTCAAAATGTATCATTAGTTTTGTTCAGCTTTTCTAGTTTGTAAACAACTATGTAATCAATGAAAATATATTTAGCCTACCTTTAAAAAGAGATGACTCCGGTATTAATTGGTAATAATAGTAAAATTTTATGCAAGACAAAAATATTAGGATCTAGCATGCTTGCCCCTTAGTAAGTTCTATTCCAAAATAATATTACACATATCAATTTCAACTTTGTAAATATTGCATAATCTCAGTCTTTGAGTTGTCAGACGGTGATAAAAAATAATCAAGAAACCATACAATCTTTTTGTATTGTGAACACCATTCATTTCAAACATTACTTGCTAGTAAAGTGCTGTTACAAGCAAAATGAGATTGTTAGTGTCTATCGAAAGCAGATGATATTTTAGTAATATTCAAATTGCATTTGTTTTGGCAAATAGCGAAAAGGTTAGACATGTTTGTTTAACCATCCAAAACTAATTCAGTATAAATAATATTGGTTTCCAATAACTCTATCCTAAAAGGCACGTACTAATGTTCCAGTAGTTCATTCAAGTGAGCTTTTACATGTAGAGGTTTGATTGTGCTTTTAAATAGTTACTGATTCAGTATGACCTTGAAAGTGACATTTGTGCATGTCTAAAATATCCTCTCACAAATGAATCTCACACTCTGAAGGTGTAATTTTGTTAAGATTATATATATCTATATAACTATGCTTATTGATCTCTATAGATCTACATAGATATACACATATACATATATTCATATATACACACACACAAAAGGATATCTTCTGGAACAGCAGTAGAAAGTGCAGTCTATTCTTTTTGAATTGTCTTCGTAATATGAAGTTTTATAATAGTCAATGAAGTTTCCAGATACAAATTGTCTTGGGGTTTGTGAGATCCAAAGAATTATTTGTGATAATGCAAGTGTCCCATATTACTCTCTTTCCTTACAGGTTGTTTCAAGCTCACTTCACTTCCAGAAGAGATGATTGGCAAATTATTTTCCATGTGATATTGAATAAGATGACCCACGCTATCAAATATGTGGTCTTTGGTTCTCACCTGATGAAAGAAGGAAAAGATTGTATTTAAGGTTACATTCTGCTTATAAGTGGTTGGATGCGAGCCTATTCCATTAAAGTCAAAATGCATTTAAGCCACTGAGCTCAATGGAGCAGCATCATTAGGCTGTAGACAGCAATTCAGACCTATCCTTTGACTCATCAAGAGACTGGATGTATAAAACTAGGCTGGTTCTGCTAAAGAGAACAAAATAAACCTTTTTTTTTTCCTGCACAGGAAAGAGACATTTTTCCCTAACTCCTACTAAGAATTTATTTTTTTATTTATGTCTCATTTGAGGATTTTCACTTAACAGTGCTCTTATAGCTCCAAGCAGAAACAAGTAGAATTCAGCTGACATCAAGCCAGCTCTACATTTTCTGTATCTAGAAGTACGTTACTAATCAACTTCATTATTTAATGAAGGGCTATTTTTCCAGCAATATACTGACAACTCAAAGGATACATTAAGTGTGCACACTAATTATCAACACCTGGAGTAACACCAATATTTAAGTACCTCACTTCTATTTCCATGGTGCTTCAGTGCTTATAAGTTCTTGAACTTTAGAAGCTAGTGAAGTCACCCACTGGCTCAATTTAAATTAACTTGAAGAAATCAGATCAATTCCATGTCCAGGAAAGCACTTTGCAGTGAAATAGCTGAGCAGCTCTCAGGTTTCCATATATGAAATGTTCATACCTTGCCCTCAGGATCCACCAAGAGAAGATGCTTTGCTTGCCCTCCCTGAAGTCCACTGAGGACATACTGACCAGGTGACGTTGTGCTCTCTCGCACCAAAAAATCCCCATCGTTGACTAAGAGGCTCTCTGCTGCTTTCCTGTTTAATTTGCCATGGTAACAATCTTCATTCCTTAGCTGTTGTTTTATTTGTGGCAGAACACAGAGACCAGCTGTGTTGCTTGTGGCACTCTGCTGCACAGTTTCTGGTAACTCTGAAATGAAATGAAAGGGAACATACTGAACACTTCTCCTAGAACTTTATCCTAAAAGGAAGAGAGAGACTATTTCCATAGCCTTTAAAAAATTCTAATGATTCCGTCTTGAAGCTGTGATCAGACCAACCTTGCAGACTGCAACAGTATTCAAACATAAATGCTCACAATCCTCAAGTGCATTCTGTAAAATTACCATATGATCTCCTCCCATATCTTAGATGGATAAACATTGGGTTGCTAGGCAACAGGGTTTGGAAAACATGCATTTTTCTGATGCTCTACTGTTTTGGTTTTGTATTTCTTTGGTTCTATTAAAGTCAAATCTTCCCTGTTTAAAAAAAATAAAAATAAAACCAATCTCTTCTTTTTAGCCTTTAAGATGTAGTCTTTCCTTCTTCCTTAACAAGCTCTGAAGAGGTTGTCATGGCTCATTGGGAGAATCATGTTGAGTGGCTCCAGCTATGTGCAGGAATGTAAGACAACATGGCCAATGTAGCCAGAAGGATTACAGCATGATGCATCTGCTGTGAAAAAAACGAACAATTACTGAATGTACTAACAAAACTGGGTGGTTTGGGATATAGCCAGTCAGACTGCAAATGATTCACAAGCAACAATTTTTCTAAGGAAAATAAAAAGGATACCACTTCTTCAATGAAATTGTGCAACTCAAGGGTCCTCAGGATATAGTCAGTTCCTTTTAGAGCATAATGCATGGCTGGGTTAGAAATGTCTCAATGGTTACAGATTTCCTTTACAGTGGATATGATCCAGCCCTCAGCCCCCTCGTTTGTGTGTGGAGCCAACACTGACAGAGAAAACACTCAGTAGGAAACCATAAGATGTGATTAAATGAAGTATTTCCAATAATGAGGATAATCAGCAGCAACTACATAGCCACCTAATGGATATCCACCTCTGGCAGTCTTTAAATCAAGACTTAATTGGTCATACATTTAATAGATAGTACTGATCAAACAATCTGCTTTAGATGCTATTGGATGAGATTCAGTGGTCAGATCACTTGTGCAAGAATTGAGAAAAGGCTGTCCTCACGTTCCTGCTTTGACCTTGCATGCTTATTGCCTGTGAAGCAAAAGCATTTGAGGTCATTTCCAGCTTAGAGTGGGTGAGATATGACTGTACACGAGAACCCTCTTCCTTGAGGCACAGTATAATCCCAAGCTTTCATAGTATTTTAGAGACTTGTTCATTACCAGCTGAGGAAAATGTGATACTATTCACTGTCACCAATCAACTACAGAAGATGGAAGGTTATTCCATATGCTCATTGTCTGTACTTTTCACCTTTAATCCCCTTTGTCTTGAATTTAAGAAACAAACAAAAAACAAAAACCAACAAACAAAACCCACTAGGAAGGACTGCACCCCCACTTTCTGTATTTCTTATGAGGAAACCAAAGTCTTTCTCCATGCACACGGCTGCCAAGTTCCCTCTTTTCAAAGCTTAGAAAGACGCAGCATCACAAGAAGAACCTACTTGTGTGACTCAGTGGGCTGCCAGGGATCTGTGTTGCTGCTGTACCCCGGGCTGTACAGACTGCAGATTGCAGGGCCTGCGTGTTGATGTAACATGGATCATCAAAAAGATCTGTTCTGTAGGCAGACTTCAGTAATGTTGCATCTTTCTTTGTCTTCTGTGATCTTTCACCACAAGAACCTGCAATTAGTGTATAGTCTGCACAGATGCCTTTTTTATTTCTAAACTCAAAGTAACTGCAAAAAAATGAAATATGAATGTTGCTGTTCTTGTATATCCCATAAAAGTCCTTTGGAAGGAAAACAAAAATTGGCAGATGAATTGTTTTTTCCTATGGCACAAGGTACGCTATTCAGAGTTAGAATGAAATTTTCAAAGATGTTCCACACTGGTTCAGTTCTGCTTTAGTTAATGTCAGCACTAAATCCCCTGCTGATTGAAAAGAAATTAATACATATGACTCTACAGAGACACAAGCTGTATGCATTGTTTGTTGCAAAGCCCCTTCCTTCCCCTCTGTACCACAAGCTTTGTGGGAAACTGAACAATTCTCTCTTGCTATTCTGGTGGAGCAGAGAGAATGGGGAAGTCAGAGTTTTGTGGCACTGCATGGAGAGCCAAAGCCACATCTGTCAGGTTAGAATCCTAGCCTAGAAACAAGTTAACAGAATATTCCCTGCAGGATATGAAAATAATGCCACTTCAGCTAGCCAAATAGCACACATATTTTTGGTCTTTAGCAAACATTTTAGTCAGAGATCTATTCATTTATTCTTTTATTTGTTCACCCTCTCGTTGCAAGAATCATTTGGTTCTCCTTTCCTGAAATCAGAAATAACACAAGGAACTGAACCACCCTCCTTCAGCAGTGTAACCCGTCTCTTTATAGCAGTGCAGGTGGGTATTCAAGAAGGATGTCATCAAGCAGAGGAAGAGATGAGTTGGGGAAACAAACTCAGGGCATCAGCTGTAGCAAATAAAGTCCAGAAGGGGATGGAGGGTGGTGATCCCCTGGGGTACCAGAGAGCAGGTTTCTCTAAAGTGAGGCTAATACGGGCCACAGAGCTCCCCAGGGAGAGGGATGGGCACAGTTAAACAGACAAGCCACAGACTCCACTGGAACAGAAATTCAGTATTTGTAGGGGGAAGGGATATCTTCAGAGACTGTTACAGCAAAGAAATATCTCCTTCTTCAAGGCATATGAAAGAGAATTAAACAACAGAGAGCTACTGTACAGTATCATAGCAAGTAAAATGAGTAATCCTGCCAGCAGACACGACAATGGATTAGTGCCCTTTTGAAAATCTGTAAGGCTTTCTTGTCTGCCCTCCATCTAGGAAACCAGAAGTGACCTATTCAGTGACCACTTTTCAACACTGTATTGAAAGCAAAGGGGCATCCCTCACAGCCAGCCTGCTTTGGTTACTTCATGCATGTGCATGTGAAGGAAAACAGAGCACATACCCATGGTTTTGCTTTCTTCTGGGCAATTTTCATATATGTTGATGAATGTCGGGCTGCCTGTCTGCAAAGAAATTGTAAAAATGGTCACATACAATAGTTTCTTAGAAACCTCACGTAATGTTATAACATCTGTGCACCAGTTAATTGGGATCCAGGCAACTTAATTCTTCATAAAAAGACCAAAAAACTTTCCCATCTCCTACGGTAATATTTCACCCCATGGAAAGAAGGCAAATGCAATTACGTGTTGCAGGATCATTCCTTGTGACTCTGGAGAGCTGTAGAAACAAACTCAGGATTGTGGAGACTACCAAGCCTACAGCAGGAATTTAAGATAACACTGGAAAACAGATGGAGCACAGGACAGAGCCTCGGAATAGCTGCCTCCAGAGACAAACCACACCTGGGAACAGAAGCCTCCTGAGCAACACCAACCAGATGCCAGGAGGCATTTTTGAATGTGCACCCTGTAAGCAAAGATGGTGCCTGCTTCACTGAATGAGGAAATGCTGGTGTTTCTAGGAACAAACAGAGCGGACTTTGAACTCTGTACAGCAAGTCTGAACTCTGCTGGTTTTACTTCCTAATGGTTTTCTATTCCTGACTACCATGAACAAAAGCCATTTTTTTTCCTACCATTTTTTGTAGCTCCTGCAGCTCAATGGAGTCTCATCAAAAATTCCAGACATAACTAATGCTGCATATACACTGCAATCAGCTAATAGCGTATGTGTAGGTTGTAGAGCATAATGGACAGGAGGAAATATTTATTGGATCACAGAACTGAGAGTCAGAAAGTCCCAGATTTTGTAAATGTTCTCTTAGACACGCCATTCAAGTCTGTATTTATTTCCTTCTCACAGGTAACAAGTTAACAAGGGGATATGACTCCATCTCCTAAAAGTACTCTAAGGACAAACCAGTTAATCTTCTGAAAGTGCTTTGGGACTCAATTATGTACTAAGCATGATTAAATCTTGCCTAAAAAACCCTTTCCCAGCATAGTCAGAACCTGGTTCTGATGTTAACACCATGCTTTACACCACTGTAACATATTATTATTCATTTCCATAACAGGCAGTGAATAGTTCTATCAGAAGATATACTTACCAAGCAGTGCTGCTTTTTGCACTGTATAAAACAGCCAGACCTTTGGTCTGTTGGCACTTTCATTCGCATGTCTAATACTCCACCAGTGGGAGGCTCTTTCCCTGGAATTTCGTTGTAATATTCATGATCCTCCCTCTCCTGTAAATTCCCAGCTGATCCATCAGCACTCACTGCCTCACTGAAACAAATGTGGAAATAAAAGCAACTGATGTTATCGACTGCTTTCGAGTGTAGGCAAACATCCCAAGCGTTCGTGCATCACACAGTGCACAGATCAGCCATACAAAGGTCGTAACGGAGTTTGGGCCTCAACTGTCAGAGTTGTTTACTTTAATTCTCTCCAAATTAAAAACGGAATCACCATGGTTCAGGCTTCAGGGAGATTGTCTTGGCACTAGACAGCCCAGGTCCCTGGGATGCCAATGTGCTGTTCACAAAGGTATCCAAAATGTCAACCATAAGAATGATTCTTCTGGCTTCTTGTCTCAACTATATAAATCTAGGGATGGGGGCAGGAGTGGGGGGTGACATGACTTACAAAAGAAAATTAAAACCTTGTGTGGCATTTAGGAAGACAAGCCTGCAACTGTTTCAGAAAAACAAACATTGCTACAAAAAATGTAGTCATCCTAAATGGAATGCACTCTGATTTTAATAATCAGAAACAATACGACTATTCAGTTTCAGCTTGAAGAAAACAGTGAATGACACAAAGGATGGTACCCAACGTTTTTCTTGAGCTAAAACAGAATGATGATAGCTTAAATGTACAGCTGATACACTGCAAAATAACTAGGTGCTTCCTGTACTGTCTCCGGTCCCGAAATAAAAAGCTCATCTCAAATCTTACTTCTCTGTTTAACAAGAATATAATTGGATAAAAGACCTCGAGCAGGAAAGAGATAAAGTTCAAGTAGTTGATTATGTGATATGCAGTGCAAGTATTTGATTATGTGATTCATAGTAGTTGGAGGTGGGTGACTCATTCACACAGCAATATCCGAGCTCTGTCTGAGGACCATTCTCCAAGACTGGCTGCGGTTGCAGCTCAAGGAGGGAATTAAATTAGCATCTTCCATTTCTCCTTTCTGTGATTTACTCCTGGCATAACTTTGCAGAGTTTCATAGCAAAGACTCTTCCTGTGGCTATTGTCTCCAGGGTAAACTGAGTATTAGCAGTGGAATGCCAAGAAACACTATATTACAAAATAAATATAACCTGGAGGTGGTACTGCTGCCAAGGAGTAAAACCAATTTTACTGCATTGTTTCAGGCACTGTACCAGTGACACTGCCTGCACACTGATTCTGGTTTTCAGGAAGCAGCTAGGTGGTTTTACAGCTTTACCTGTTTCTGAGGGGTAGCAAGGGATCAAGTTCTGCATCACTAAAGGAAAAATATGGCTCCTTAGAGAGAGCCATATGTCAGACCAAGAACTGTGTGTTCAATGCACTGGAAATGGGGAACTGCAGTCTGAAAATTAACCTAGGTCCCACAGTTTGAGCAATGGGCTGAAGACAAGACTTCATACTTTAAAATGCCAAGTGGTGGCTGTGTTGATTTCGGTATACGAGGCTGACTCAACTCACAGCAGGTGGAACTGCAGGCCTCTGCCAGGTCACGAGCAGAACAGCAGAGAGGTGAATTACAACTGCTTGCATCCCCAGCACAGACTTTCCACAGCTGCAGCGAGCTTAAACTTGGCACAGCTCAGGACTGAGCTCAGTGTGCACCATATTTATAGAGCAAAACTTCTCCACTTCATTTACCCTCCCCAGGTAAGGACAGGATAATTTGAAGATTTGTTCCATTTGCTTTCATCACTTGAAATACAGCAGTTTTAGCTAAGCACCTGTACAAATGTCACTGGAAACAGTGCCATTCACTGGAATAAGCTAATGTTACTCTACTACTCTATGTACATACAGCATGTGTTACAGTTAGCATACGTCCAGAATGCATCACTTAAACATGTTATTTATGGATCATTCTTTGGAGTGCAATTGTTCTCTCAGAAGTACTGAAGAGAAGAAAACTGTCAGTGAAGTGACTGAGAACATGCTGACCTTCCATTAGAAGTCACCAGGCTGGATGGGTTCTTCAGGTACTGTTTGAACCGGAGCTCAAAAGCCTGCCCTATGGTGTTTATCACCTCCTGTGCCATCCCATTGGGACACTCCAGTATGTGGCATGCTGCAAAGAGACACCTTGCTTTAATTAGGTAAATGTCCTTTATTTAAAAATCAAAACAAAACAAAAAAAAAACGGAGTCAATCTCTATTCTTTTCAGCAGAAAAGTTGAGCATGAGACTATCTAGGCAGCCTTAGGGCATTAGTTAGGACTGAGATTATTTGACGTGCGAAAGAAGTGCTCTGAATATATTTAAGGCATAATATCAACTCAATGAAAGAAACTCCATTTCTGATTCCTGCACAGAACACCCCTGTGTCTCCTACTCAGGCAAAGCAGAACCCCCTTCTGTCTGTGTTGGGAAAGACCCTGTCCCAGTGCAGAGCCAGCAGATGGCACAAGCTTAGTCTGACCTACAGATCCCCATTTAATGGCACAAAGAACAAATGACACTTAGAGCCACAGCCTGCATGCAAACTGTCACCCCATCCACACAGCAAAGTTAGAAATTGTATAGAATCTTGAGCTGCTCAGTAACTCTCATCACAAAATTCAAGCAAGTCCTTGGTACAGATAAAGCAATTGTAAAGACATACATAATGATTTGAAAATTGCTTCCATACCTCTCTGATTAACAGGATCTTTTGCTACATATGCAACATAGTCTGTTGTATCCTTCAGGAAAGAAGAAAACAAACGTTTTTAAAATTATCATTATGAACGACCTTATCACCATAACAAAGCAACTCAGTACACAGACAGATATTCTTAACTTTAAAAATAGGTTTCAGGAAAGGTGGAGGTGCTGCACAAGGGAATAAGGGAAAGATCAGTGATGCAGTGGTGGATATTGACATATATTGACACAAATAATTGTGCAATAATGCTTGTTCTTGTGATAAATGCAGGAGACCATTTCATGTTCTTTGGGTTTCCAGTAAACTGTGTTTTCATACTCTGCAAGGGAGAAAAAACTCAGCTGGTGCCTCATCAGCAGAGAGTGCTGAACACATCAGGGCAGTGACTTCCAGCCACATCTTTTAGCTGGAACAGCCCTCACTGATGTCCATGGAATACTTAACAGTGTGAAAAGAGACCAAGTAAGAATTTTCACCATTTGTGGCATTGAAATTGATTTCTAAAGGCATCTTAGAGAAAAGATGATATTTAAAATATCGCAGAAGGCAAGAGGGATTCCATCTCAACCATTGCTGCCTATGTCAGTGTGGTTAACATCAGGTTAAATTACTCCGGATCTGAAGGCCACTGCTGAGATCAGACAACCTCAGTATAAATCAGTTGTCTGTTACAGATTCTTTTCACAGCTAGTGCCGAAATAATAATCACTTTTTCTTGTGACACTGAAATGGGATCTGAAATAGACAGATTAACATTTCTAGTCATATTGCAAAAGCAAAGAGTCACTTGATAATTTGGCGTTATAGTAACAACGGTGAGGTAATGAATAACATTCTTTTAATTATTAAAGATGTATTTTGTTATTTTGGATCTTTATGGGGATGGGGAAAACACAATTGGCAGCTTAAAGGCACGGCTCTCGTGGGGAAAGATGCAGTCAGCTGGCAGGAAACAAAGGCCCCATTTGCAATATGCACAAGAACAACCATTTAATAATTCACAATGAATGACACAGGAGGCACATCTTAGGTCAGCAGATCTTGTCCTAGATCATTCAAAAAAAAAAAAAAAAAAAAATCTCCCAAGGTAATATCATTAAAGCAAAGAAAGCTAAATATTTCTCATGCACTTAGAAAACTCAATTTCCTTTCTTTTCCTCCCAGGTTTTTCTTAAGGTTTATAAATATTTTATGATATTTTACTTTTAAAATAAATTAGGTCTTGACTGTAACTGGAAAACTGAAGCAACTGGAGCAGTACCTGCTATTTTTATACCTTTACAACACTTAACCGTCTGCATGGATGACTGTGCTTTAAAATAAAGCCCCCTACAGAACAGAATCCTGCCATTCCTTAACAGTGCAGAGCAACACAGAACTGTGCTCAGACCTTGAAAGTAGGGACAGTTGGAGAGACATGTCCTATGGAAAATAAAGCCGGAAATATATCCCTGCCTGAATTATGCTGAGATGTTATATAAAGACAGATTTAAGAGAGCCAGCATCTAGGGCACAGTACATACTTCAGAGACAGGACAGTTCAAGGATATACATATAAACTATTTAACTATCAGGAAAGCTGGAATTTGAAATGAAGCTTTGTGATGCTCAGCACGACAGCGCAGCAGCACTTGGAGCTACCAGGAAGGGTCTGCAAAGCCGAAGGACTGTATTGCGCAGTGCAGTGTGTTAGGATAGCATGAGCACCTCGTGGGGAAAGTCAGACTTCTCAAAACGCCTTGGTTGCTAGTGGGATCCTTACGGATCTCATTCTTTGGCACCAGCTCCATGCGGTGCCTCCCTGCTGGGTGCAGGACTGGCAGTGCAAAGCCTGCACACGTGTTCCTTCCCCCCATCCCTGCTTCCCTCCCCAGCTCCAGGGAGCTCCTGCTCTCAGGCAGCTTGGGCAACACCTCACTGAGCAGCTGGGCTCCTTACATCACCCCATGGCCCTCCACCCATCACACAGGGCTGATTCTCAGCTATTTTCCCTTGCCTGGTCCTAAATCCAAAGAGGCAGATTTGTCATTTTCCAGTCAAAGCTAGATCTGGCTTCCACTCCTTTGTTTCATAACACAAGAACAAGGAGACATTTATCAAAACTGAAAGGCAGAAAATTCCAAACTGATTAAAAAAATACAGTTTTCATAACACACAGAGTGTGAAATTCAAAACGCTGGGAACTTGCTGACACTGGGGAAGGGAATAGGACATGTTTATGAATGACAAATTCCTCACAATAATTTCAATGAAAGATTTGGAAGAGGAAAGAAAACTTCTTGCATAATAACATCAGTGAGTTCATAACTATTACAGTGGGAGAAAACCCCATATCTGCACGAAAAATAACGTCATGTCCATCTTACAGGAACTTGGTTTATCTTGAAATTCATCTAAAATTTAGAGAGGCTGATGCTGACCTCTTCTATAACAAGGCATTGGATTACAGGGACCTCAGAACTGATGCAACTCCCATGTTGGTATATTCTTATTTTCAGGTCCCCAGGTCTGTGGTCTTGTGAGTGACCTTAGTCTCACTGATGGGCAGTGGGAACAATAACTCTACCTAGCTATCAAATCCCCACTGAACCTCCATTGAAAAACTTCTCTCCCAGACCCCCTATCTATCTATTTTAGACTCCTGGTCATGATGCAGAAGCATGGCATACTCTGTTAGTGCTTGCAGATAAGAAGGAACGAAGTAAAGTATTTGCAGGTATTTCTATTCTCATAATAATTTCATTATACCTGCAGAAGTCTTACAAATCAATACTTACTGGGTCACCTCCAGAAGCAAATGAGATGGACTGCATGTGATGGTTGGCAATAATCTGAAAAGCATGACAAATTAGTTAAACATGCTCACGTGCATTTAGAAAACAGCAGAGCAAGCAATTCAGTTCATGACAACCCCATCTATTAATAAACACATGGGCATATCATTTGTGAAGGAAGAAGCTAAAAATAGGAACATTTTTGGAGACTACCCGTTAATGATTGGTAATATCTAGATCCTGAAAGGGTTTTGAGAATGAGTTCAGACACCATTTCTAACCCAGTGAGTACAGCTGCTTACATGAGAGTTTCATAAGAGAATAATGGAAGATACTGAATGCATTTATAAATTCTTGAGAAATTAATTCAGTTCAAAATGACCAGTAGTCTTATTTAAATGCATGGTGTATGTAACAGTGGCATTTTTACAAGCTAACAGTGCCCACTGATACTCAGACCATCTTCTCTCCCAGCAGTAGCACCACACTGTTATGTGGCAGGAATTTTGCTAGCCAAATCAAGCACAAACTTTGTTTAAAACACTCCTTCATCTCTGGAGACAGGCTGTTTTTTATTATAAAATCAAGTGCAAAAGATTATGCAAGTGGGAATACAATGAAACATGGTGGCAGTGCAGGAATGGAACAAACAGGATTTTCAGCTTGGAAAGGCCTAATAATGAAAGACCTAGGAAGAATTTCAAGACAGTCCTCCGAACACCTGTGTGCGTGCTAACAGGACACGTCAGTGCACTTGGAAAGAGATCTGTCTGTTCAGATTTTAGTCCTGTATCAGAAAAGGAAGAGCTGAGAGGGCCAGACTTCAGTTGCCAGCTCCCAAAGCTTCCTCTAGTATAGGGAAGCTGCTTGCTGCTTGCTGTAGCTGAAAGGACAGGAGACATCAAGCCATAGGCTCTCCCAGTCCAGGAAAGCCACAGGAGCTTCCCAGTGCTCAGGACAGCATCAAATCAGTTCAACAGGTCCTCAGAGCCAGTGAGCTGGAACTACCTCCCTGCTGCTCCCCTGCTTGTAAGGAAACCCACTGCTGGCCTGGCAGAGACCACGCTGGAGCTGAAGGAGGAATTTGGTGGAACAGCACAAAGCTCCCAAACTCATCAGCCAAAGGAATGCACTCCAGTTCCAGAGCAGACCCAGACTCCCAGGACTGTGCCCCTGCAGAGCCCAGGGAACCTGCTCAGTATAACTGATGATGCACATATATTACCCAGCTGTAATGTAGCTTTGAACAACAGCAAAGCTAAGCTCTAACTCATTTATATATATATATATATTTTTTTACTGTAAGACTGTCAGAAACCCTAGTCAAGATTAGCACCTTGTTTACTAGGCACTGTACAGAGAGTGACAGAGAGAGAAACACTTTGCCAAGTGCTTAGAGATCCCTGGATACAAAAGACACCATCACAAACAAAAATATATGTCACATATTGAATTACCCCAAAATGCTCCCATTTTAAAAGTCAGCCTTAATGGGCGTCCATGGGAAAACACTGGGTGCTGCTTTCTGCTCAAGCACCCTGCGTATCTTTCAGATGTCACAAAAAGAGGAGAATATGGTAGCAAGGATAGAAAGACCCTGGTTTACATGTAGCCTACCTGCTGCGTGTCAGTGTTAATCAGTGTGAGGCTGTTTGTTGAAATGGTCAGCTTTATGTTCACGCCAGAAAACTGAAGGTTACTTTTGCCAAGTACAGAAGACAGAAACTTAACTGGAGGCTTTAAACACAGAAACAAAAGAAAGACATTGTCAGCTGGCTTGGCTAGCAGCAGAAGTATATCAGAGTCAAGTAGAATTTTACAGCATCTTATTGAGAATGTAATGGGAACAAGGATAACGGCTTGATTATGACAAATAGACATTCTGACAAACATCAGCTTTGAATCACGCTTGTATAAATGCTTTTTACGTCAATAATAGGGAAAAGAAGTGTTGAAGAAACAAAATCTCAGAAAGTTACATGTTATAGCTAGCTAAGGAGTTCAGAACAACTAATTTTGCCAGTGAACTCTGCTTCATTTCCTGAGGATGAAGTAGATCAGGAAATCTTTTCGTGTATTCTTCAGCAGTGTGTTTGCACACTCTGAGTCCACACTTACTGAAGGAAACCAACTTCCCCTAACACTGCCCCACAGCAGCGCTTCCACTGCCCCCCTCTGCACGCCAGCCCTTAAACAAATGACAGACCCATTCAACGCTGCCTCTCTCCTTATTTGCAATACAAAGAACCATCAGGTAGCCTTATGATGAATTAGCTCCCTTTCATTATCCAAAAGGCCTCCTACACTTTACCGATCAGAACCTTAAATCTTAGAAACCGCTGAGCACTGCAGAGGTTGGTAGGAGCAGAGCTGTAACCCTGGGAGAGGAAGGTCTTGCACAGCCCTGCCCCCAGAACACAGCAGGCCAAGCTCTGCAGCACGCTCAGGTGAATTAACGCTCACTAACTCCAGCACGGCCTGAGCCTCGTTGGGGAATCACGTATCCAGCTTATCAGAAGCAGGTACAGAAGAGCAATTGTTCAGCTGAGGCGCTACTTACCTTCCGCTTTTTGATCGCTCCATTTGTACCTGATACAGCTTCACACAGTCGGCTTATTGCTTCCCTACAAACAGAAAAACACAGCACAAACTGTTGGATCATTTAACATGCATCAGCTGTAACGGGGCCAGCAACCTCGTGATTTATTGCTGTAATTCCACTTAGAAACACTTAAATCTTCTGCTAAGTCTTTCACAGTTGTTTTTCCTTCTTTCTCCCTCTCAGCGTTAAAAAGAAAAACCTATTTAATGAAACACAATAATTCACCAGCCTGCTTTGGATTCATTCCTTTTCTTCATAAAATATACGAGTGTCACCTAATGACAATTCTTTGTTCCTAAATAAATAAATAAAACCAGCTAACCACAATGAAACTCAAAGGACCTTGTGCCTTCGAGTTCTTTCTCTCAGGAAGGCTGGCAGGCAGCATTCCTACCTGCCTTAATCCATCTTCCTTAGAGCACCAGGGGTGTGCTGAGTAAGCCCAGCTGGGGGCCCTTATGGGCTTTCTGGTGTCCAGGGGCAGGTTTCTCTTTTTAAAAGAATAGAAGAGAGAGAAATCACAGAAGCGATGTTTCACCTGCACTTCAGCCAATTTCCCACCCTTTTATATCACAAGAACATTCTTGCTGCCCAGCCTACGCTGTTTGGGAGTTGTGATTGAACATTTCCCAGTACTGCCCTTGCTAGGCGTGACAGTTCTTCCAGCATTTGATACCTAGGCTGTGCAGAGCGTGTCTCTTTGCCAAGCTGTGACATTCTTGGCCAAACCATGGGTTAGATAGCTACAGCAAAGAAAATGCTTTGAGTGTCGCTGCCAGCAGTGCTGTATCCCTCTGGGCAGGAGATTTTTCTCTGGGAATGCTGCACAGACCTCCTCCCCCTTTTCAAGGTGCACGGTTTGTGCAGCCATAGCTGGATTGCAAAGCTGCTGCTCTTAGGCAAGGGGTTCTGTTGTAGTGCTTTGTAATGCCACAGCTCAGAGGAGAGGTTAGGAGGTTCAGCTTCTCGACATTTTTGCCAATCAGAGCTCCTAGTTCATCTCTAGCAGGGATTTCCCAAATCAGGTATCCTATCCCAGCAACTCAGTAACCTCTATAGGTGCCTCTCACCTCGGAAAGCAGAAATGTAAGGCAAAATGCACTGATGGGCTGTATCGAAGACAGCTATATTTCTCACTGAATGTAACTGTTACAAGCTGCATCTCTTTTCCAGGCTTCAACAAAGCAAGTTCTGATGTATGATCAGCCAGGTGATGCTTCCCACAAACAGAGCAGCATCCTGAGGGCAGTTAGCACAGCAACTGGAAAAAAATCTTTTATTGGCAGCCATCGACTTTTCCCTGACTTACAGTCATTGTTTTGAAGCCAGTGGAAAAATGGTGACCAACGGGGTTGTGGTGTGCTCAGCAGATTTCCTTAACATTCCTGGACATCCTGGAGATGAGGGAAGGTCAGCTCTGCTGCAGCATGCCACGGATTCCAGGATCCAATCCGACAGTCTTATCTCAATAACCCAGCAATCACAGGTGTTGCTGGGGCAAGTTTTCCATGTGCTGTCCCTGCAGGATGTCCTGGAGACACTGAGCCAGGCTGGCAGGCAGTGGGCCAGGTAGGCCCCATGCTGCAGGACGGCTGGAGCAGGTGGGCTGTCAGCACCTGTACCTAAAGCACTGGAGAGCACTGATGTTAAAAGGAGGCTTCCTGTCAGAGAAGGTCCTGAGAAATGAAACCTGGAGCCTGTCAAGTGTCAACAACAGCAATCTGAGTGAAACCAGCTGGGAAGAAGAGCAGCAGCATAGTGGACTGCATGAGATAGATTAGATTTAGTTTACAAACACAACCTTTTAAGCACAGCCTCTTTTTTTATCTTTTTAAAACAAAGCACTTTCCCCTACACAACCGAAAACATGAAGTGAAAGCCTGCCATCTCTCTCGTTTAGCTTGGTGATATTATTTCGATGGTAGAAAGGGCAAAACTAACCGAAACAGGAATGGCATCCTGCAGGATGATCTTGCAGATTCCAATGATGTATTTGGAAAATGAAAGCTCATCTTCTCATTCAATATTAAAGGAAATTAAAATCAGAGACAAGACATTAAGGCTACCTGGAGCCTTCAAGTCTAGCTCTACCTAGAAAGAAAACCAGAAACTGAACAAACTAGAAAAACAGGGAAGTGTTCTATTGTGGTGACAAAAGAGTTCCCAAACACTTCAAGCATCCTATATGGAATACTCAGTTGCAGACAAAGCTGTCAGCAGCAGATCCCATTCTGGTACAAGCACACCTTGTGACTGCCCAGTTCACCCCACTGCTATGCAACTGTTCAACAAACAGGAACAAAAAATAGGCAAATCATTTCTAATTAAGTTTCTATTTCCTCTCTTTCCTAAGGGAAATCATCTTCTCACAGCTGTTCCTTGCTTCATATCATCAGATGGTTTTCCAGATGACTTAATAGACCTTCTCATATATTATTTTAAAGGGGTGAAAAGCAGGCATTTGACAACACCTTGCTGATAGTACTGAACATCTCTAATTTTCAGTCAGTTCCATGGGGCAGGTGGACCAGATCTGGAACCTGCACCATATACTAGGAAGAAAAGAAACTCTGGAAATATCCATGATAAACTGAAATTGGATTTACTGTATCCATGCCTTCTTCCTGGAAACATGCTCTTAATTCATTCTTACAGCCATTCACTGTCAGTCACTTGCTTGGGCAAGTCTTCTAGATCTGCCAGACAGCAAATACCTTTGTAGGTCTCATAGCTAACCTATGGATGAACATGCAGCTCTGTGGCTTCTGGGATTTGCTTCTCCATTTTCCATATGCCAATCAGAGGCAGCAGCAGCAGATGTGGCCTTGTTATTCCAATCCTGTTGCTCTTGTCCCTTTCTCTCCTCCTCGTCAAACATCCCAAGGCAAAGCACTCTGGTTTGGTTTTTTTTTCCTTTAAATCACACTGGCTGAGAGAACTCCACTGTTGCACCCTGCGGCAGCTCCTCTCACCTCTGGGAGCTCCAGAACTAAATGAGGAAAGCCATGAGGAATTTAAATCGATTTAGTTTAAGGCAAAGAAAATCTTGCTCCTCAACAACTCGGCAACTTCTGCCATTTGAAGTGAGGTCCCTGCCTGCCAGTCCTGCAGTGTCCGTGCAATTACACACACTGACCACTGGCAGCCAACACAATTTTTGTTTCCATAGTGAATGGGAGAGATTTGGGTCAGCTCCTGTGCTGGGTGAGCTGCACAGCTGCGGGGCTGAGCCGTGGAGCCCCGTGCAGCCAGCCGGTGCTGCAGGGAGGGCAGAAGGAAATTGTGGTGGCTCAGCAGCCAGCAGCAAGGTGGGCAATGAGAGGTGACAAAGACAGGTGCCCCTTTTGGCACCTGTGAGCCTTTAGATCATCTCAGCAGTACACTCAAACCCAGATTTCATCCTCTAGGGCTGCACCTCTGCAGTAAGCCCTGCCACAGAGGAGGGACTGGTGCTGACAGAGAGGCACTTTGTTGATTGTTTCCCCAAATGAGAGCAAAAGAAGAGCAAGGGGCTGATGTAAGCGAGCAAACATGCTGCTGGAGATCTGCTTTTAAGCATCGAGGGCTCTGCCTACACCATCGAACAGAAAGGGATTGTGTGTCTCAACAAAGTTGAAATTAATCTTCCAAACAAAGCCAGCTTTCTTCAAGCAGCCATCCCACCAGCCCTTTGCAATGCCCCTCTCCCCAGCCATGCTGCCTGGCCATTCCCAAGTTGGAGAGCTATTGCCCAGACCTGGGACACAGAATCCCTTTTCCCATACATGCCTAGATACAATCACTGAGCTTGATTTAACATAAGTGGGAGGTGGGAAAAAGAGCCAAAGGGCTCTGGCAAGGGGAGGGCATGCTGGGCTCTGGGCAGGCATGGGATGGGCAGCAGGACACCTCCAAGCACAGGGGCTCCAGTTCCACTGCTTCATCAGAATGCAAATGACCCATGGTGTACTACAGCTGGTGCAGAAGGGAGAAGGGACTTTGTTAAACTGACCTTCCTTCTACATCACTTTCAACCAGAGCACGACCCTTTGTTTAGTGAAATGTCGTCAGAGTAAAAATATGTTTTTATCCCCAGTAAAAATAACACAGATTATTAAAATGGAATCATTTCAAATAACTCCTTGACTGTTGTGTTGTGGAAGGCATCCATAAAGTGACTCGCCTGGGAGAACAATGGGAGAATAATCGGAGTTATTGTCACCCAGTCAGGATGTAATCGACCGAACTTTAAAGTTAGCATGCACACAGCCCTTCAACAGGCAGTTTGCAAGCAGCTTAAGTTTTGAATTTCTCATACACAAAAGAGTCTCCCAAGGTCAACAGTGGCATGGGGTTTTTTTAGGAGGTGGAACTATTTCCATTGTTAAGTTCTCACATAGCCCTGGTTAACAAAACCTGATCATTTGGGTCAAATTTAAGTTGGCAAATTCTCTTTAGGTAGTAATTCATATTCAGTATTCTCCAGACAGTCTGACCAATGTAGCAATGTGCACAGACCCAGCCTTGCAAGTGGGAGGTAACCTCACTTCTTGGCTGGTGCTGTTGAGGAACACAGTGCATGTATCTGAATTCACCAAACTGATTTATCTGAGCAAAGTCTACTGTGTTTCTCCTTTGGGTTGGTAAACAATTAGGCAGGGGAGTGGAACTATATTTGTATCTTAGGCACTTCTTCATAAACGGATGCAGGAACTGGGTAAATGCATGCTTGTGCTGACTAAATGTAAACAACTGCTGACTTTGAATCTAAAACAAATCTGACTGCTTTAGAGTGCAGTATATAAGCATTTAAGGAGTCAAGTTGTACAGATTCTTCCTTTTAGCTGATAAGTCTGGGAGACAACAGGTAGATGTTTAACACTTATCTCGTCATGCACCTTTCCTGCCTCCAGACTCTGATATGAGCACTTGAAGAAGCAAAAGAGCATCTGTAAATCATCTGCCAGCAGGAAGGAAGAGCCAGGCAGCCACAGGAACCCTAAACCACACTTTTGGCATCCTCAGCATGAGCCGAGCCAGAAAAAAAGGCTGAGGAGGAGGAAACACGGACACAGCTGGGCAGAAATTCTCTGCAAAGAGCATTTGGGGCCAGGGAGCAGGGAGCTGTGCTGCAGGACCACGGGTGCATTCCAGCAGCCCCTTTGGAAAAGCACTCGTGCTTCCTCATAAACACAAGGATTCTGCATACAGGGCAAGACTAAAGGTAAAAATAAGGCAGGGTTGTTCTCTTCTGGACATGCCAACAACCAATTGTGAGACGACCTCACTAGATGGAGGGACCCACAGCACCTTGCATCAGGTGTGAAGCAGGGAGAAGGCAGCAGAAGAGATGCCTGGAGCGCCCAGGCTGTGCCTTGGCCACAGCAGCAGCAGCACGGCTGTGGCACAGCCTACATGTTCACCTCGTGCCCCAGGTGAGCCCAGGCTCCTGGCCCAGCTGCCACTACCAAGCACCAGGTGTGCCTGTACCATGCTGCGACTGCAGGGGGATTCTCTCTGCATCCAAAACAAGGGCTGGGCAATAAATTCAGTCTGTGGCTGAAACGATCAGTTTCACAATGGAAACAGCCTATTGTAATGTCCACGTAATTCAAGTCATCGCTTGGGAAAAAGCAAAGCAAACCATGCAAACTTCTATTCAAAAGAGTTTGAGGGTTTGGCACGCAGTGGTGGCTTTATACAGAAATCAGAGCTCAGGCTTTTCTTTCTTGTGCTGAATTCCCATTCAGCAGCGCCTACCTGGTGACTTGTGTTCGTGTGCCAAAGTCCAGGGACCTCATTGACTGCAGCACTTCAATACAGCCCATGTACTGTGGAGAACAAAGAGAAACAAAGCATGGCTACGTTAATACCTGCAGAACAGCTGAGAGGAGGTCAGAAAAGAAAGCAAGCGTGATTTCAGCCCACTGAATTTATGCAGAACTACAATCTATGTGGAAAATCAAATCAGCCCTTCTAAAGCAGCTTCCTAAATAGATCAAGGTTTACTGAAAAGTGTGCAGAACAGCAAGGAAGATACCAGCAACTTCAACAACACAGCACAAAAAAGAGATGAAGCCCTCGGGGGACACAAAATCCAAACCTTCCTCCTTCCTAATTCTGCTCATTGTCACTGATTAACTTGTGCCACTGAGCTGGGAGGAACACATCGATGCCGCTGTGAAATTCCCCCATGTGCAGAGGACATGTGCAGGACTGCTGCACTCAGGGGCCCTTTGGAGCAGTGGGAGGCATTACCAGGCATGAGGAAAACCACTGGTCCCCTGCTGATGCAGGTCTGATGACAAATAACCAACCTCTGCAGAAGATGGAGGAGGCAGACTTGCAATTCAAGCTCTTAGCAACAGCTCTTTAAGAGCCTGCACCACAAAGTGACTGCTTTAAATTAGAGGCTGAGTCCCACCTTTCTGTTGTATGGGGCACAGCTGAGGGCTTTTTCTGTACTTATTTGGGATTTGCGCAGGACAAATTTTCAGAAACATCAAGTCTTGGACGATCTGTGACCATACAGAAACCTCTGACATTTTGCACAAACCTATGGAACATTTTCATCTCGATCAAGTGCACCAGGCTAACTCTAGCCACTGAGCTTACTTCTCTCCAAAACATTTTACTCATTCCTTTATCATTTCTGCTGATAGCCATCCCTCTGCTATTCAAGTGCAGGTCTCTGCTTCCCACCTGGCATCCCCTGTTTGACTCTGCAACAGTCACCTGGGAACAGAGCATCCTACAACAGCCCGGCCCCACTGAGCCCTCCTGCATGGAGTCACAGCCTCTGGGATCCATCACACAGAGCCCCAGGCAGGGGCTGCATGCCCTGTCCTCTTGTTTTTTGGACAGAAGCAGCACTGTGTGCAGAGAAAGGCACCGGCCTGTCTGTGAATGGATTCTCCTGCAGTGCTCAGAGATGAATGCAGGTGTCTGCTCCAGCTTTACAGACCTCCAGAAATGACTGTGTTAAAAAGAGAACGTGTGCGCGCAGTCAAGCAGGGATTCCACAACAATGGTATTATATCCCTGTTTTGGTTTCTTTCCAAATAGCAATGCAACCCTTGGGAGAACTCCAGAATTAGGTCAGAGCCCTGGAAGGACATCAATAAGAATCTGAAGGGTTTGCAGAACTGCCTCCCTAATGAACATTTAATGACTTTGTAAAGGACTCTGAGAGCTATCTTACTTGTTAAAGATATTCCTGCTTAACGGGAACAAAGCAAACGTGGAAGATATGCCTCAAGCCTCAGCTCACAGCACGGCAGAGACCTCTGGTCCTACAGGATAAGGTCAAGCATCCTGTGAGCTGGCGGGGTGCCCCTCGATCCTTGAGAACAGCAAGATTTAGAGGAGGAGGTGAGTCATGCGCTGATAAGCGAGTCCCTGCTGCATCCTGAGCAGATGCGTGGGAAGCTGCTCTAAGCAAAGATGAAAAATCAATATTAGGTTTTTGCATAAGTGACCCTGAGTGAATCTGAACTTATCAATGATTCACAAAAGGCTTTTTTTTTTTTTTTCTCTCTTCCTTTCTTTAAAAGCCTGAGTAAGGAAGTGCATTAACACGGCACCTCACTGTATCCCTCATTTATTTTATCTGAATGAGAACGGTCAGTAAGGCTGAACCCCCACATTGCTGGGCAGGGGGAAGCAGTGGAGCTGGGAGGAGGGCACTGTGGTCACAGAGCTGGGAAGAAGCCCAGGGAGCACTCAGAAGGGACAATGGGATGCTGGAAGCCTGGTAGAGAAAACCAAAGATATCTCCAAGGAAGAAAAAAAGAAGTGAAAATTACACAAGGGTGATTAACCCCTCCACTGAAGAAAACGCCAACGCAGAACAGAGCCAGCTGCTAAGGACCTGACCTCACTGATGAGGGTGGATGCTGAACCCACAGATGCCTTGCCCAGTTCCTGTAGCAGTGACCCGTGCCAAACCGTGCTCCCATCTCCCTGCAGTGGGATGGGAGCGGCTGTCCTGCAGGAGCTCCGTCCCACAGCATCCAAAGGGGAGGGAGAGCTGGGGATGGATTCTGCTTCCCTACACTGCCGGGGCTGGGAGAGAAGGCTGCTTACTGAAGATGCACATCTTTTCATCTCTCTCTGCAAGAGATGATGGAGAGTGACTGCAGACAGGATGAGGGACTGCGTGGGAGGAGATGTGAATGCACCCGGCAGGGCTCGCGTGAATAAGCTTTTGAGGCACCCTCTAACACAGCCCCACGTCTCATTGCATTCCTTCCCACAACGCAGTGAGTGGCTCCAGCTTCAATGACAGCCAGTGATTCACCAGCAGCAGCAATACAGCTCGTGGAGCTCCTAATTAAACAATACAGCTGCAGCCTCACGATTTGACTTATTAGTTAACAGGCATTAATTCACGTGTAATGCCAAGGGCAGCTCCTACAGACCCCACAGCCATCGAACAAAGGATCCAGGTGGCAGGATTTGCTAGTGGAAGCAATGCTGCTGCTATACAGCCTCTAACCAAAGGCATGTTAGATGCTGCTTGGATTCCCTAAAACATTACAGCTACCTGGGCAAAAAACAAAAACACAAAAAAACAACCATTAAAAAAAAAATCACGAGCAGCAGTATTGTGTGCAAATGAGGGTGGCAGGAATCCTTCTCCCATCCAAGCACTTAATTTTCCCAGCACCTGCTTTAACAAGGCACTTTTGAAGTAAGGGGAAAAGATTTCGGAGCCTCCCACCCCTCCTTCCTCCAGGGCTGCCAGGTGGGGAGCGGGGAGCTCTGCTTTGATTGCTGTGAATAACACCTCGATGCATGGGGCCATGCAGCAGCCATGAGCACGTGGCACCCACACACCGTGGCAGGGCCTGAGAGCACAGGCAGAACGGCCTGGAAAGCAGTCTGGCTTTTGCTAAACAGAAAATTTCCAGGGAGGGTCTGACCCTTTCATTTGTGAGTTTTCAATTTTTAATTCCCCATCCCTGGAGGCATTCAAGGCCAGGCTGGATGTGGCTTTGGGCAGCCTGGTCTGGTGGTTGGCGACCCTGTGCACAGCAGGGGGGTTAAAACTAGATGGTCATTGTGGTCCTTCTCAACCCAGGCCATTCTATGATTAAACAAGTGTTGAGAAAAAAAACAAAAAGGGAAAAGCTCCTCATTTTATGTATGTATGTATATATATAGACATATGTACACAAACACATTTTCAATGAGTGTATACCCACAAACATATACACATGCACACTTTCCCTTTCTTTTCAGTTTTGATCTGAAAAACCCATCCCACACCACTGCACCAGGACAAGGGCTGTGGCAGATTTGGTTCAAAGAGAACCCAATGCAGCACCTGCAGCTGTAGCACACGTGAGCAGCCCACAGAGAACTGCTGCCCTAATGCAGAGGCGGTGACAGCTGTGGGATGAGGGCTGCCCAGCACCCCAAGCCCTGCTCACCGCTCACAGCTGTGGCTCTGCAGCCACGAACCACCAGAGCTGATCTCCTTCCTGCCAGAGAAGTGCAAGAACAGCCAGGCCCTCGCTCTGCTCTTAAAGACAGCGGTACAGGGATGAGCTCTGTCCTGGCTCCTGCTTCAGTATTGCTATTTGGGCTCTTTGGTATTCACACAGGTGGGCTGGAGGTGCAGGCAGGTAGGGGGCTCAGCATCTTGCACAGTCCAGGTGATGTGAGACACATGTGGAATCTCCAGCTGCTGTGCACAGCTGCAGTCACACCACAGGGCACACAGGGAATCCCACTGCTGGCATCTCTTGAAGCAACACCTGGCAGACAATTTCTGCCTCCTTCCAATTTATGGGTGACCACTTTTGATGTAAAGCTTCTTATCACTTCAGCAATTACTGTCTTTCTGAAATACCTGGTCAAAAAGCCAACGGGTTTGGACACAGCACATCAGGATGTGTCTCAGCGGTGCTCCTGCAGCCCTTGGGCTCCTACAGCAGCAGAGCTGCAGGAGGACATCTCCCTGTCGTACTGGGAGGCCCCTAACAGTCAGCCCTTCAAAGATATTTCCCTGTGAAACAGCCTGACCTCCACAGCAGGAAAACACCCTGGAGCAGCAACCTGAGGAGCAGCAGAAGGGGGCAGCCCCTTCACTACTTCTCCGGACCTTCCTGTGACGCTGGGCCTTGGTTTTGCTTCTCCTTTTCCTTTCTGGTCACCGTGGCTCCCAGCAGGTAACACTTCACTGCCTCTGCCCACGAGCCCACACAGAACCTGGGAAATCCCCCTATCAGGGGGCATCGCAGCCCTGTAGGAACCTCAGAGCCTTGGCTGTGACTGACACCGTACAACAGGCAGGTGCCACAGGCTATGCACTGTGACACCACAACACCAGCACACCACCCACCAGCATTGAGAGCCCCAGCAGGCACTGTGCTGTCATGCTGTGCCACCTGTGTGCCCATTAACCCAGTCAGCCACCGCTGGTGCCAAAGTACCAAGTGCCCATGTCAGCACTGGGCCTTACAGGAAGCCAAGCACAAGAGGACAGGCACAAGGGTAGCTCAGAGAAACCCACACAGTACAAGCTCCCTCCTGCTGCTGCCTTTAACAAGACAAATGAAGATGACTGCACTCTGACTTCCATTTCCACAGCTGATGACCTGACTGATGTCCATCCCACAGCTCCCACAGCCAAAGACCTCATCCACAGTAGCTGGCCTGCTTGGGAAGGGTGGGCACAGCCACGGCCCCATTTTGTTCTTTTCCTCTCTGACGTGCAATGTCAGAGGTTTAGAGTGTGGAGAAGGAAGCAATGGCCATTGGCTTTCCAACTGGCAAGGTCTGGGCACAGAAGTAAAACATCCAGAGAGGAAAAACAGAAAACAAGAAAGCTCCTGGGTGTGACATGGGTGGAAGAAGCAAAGCCCTGAGCCCGGGGACTCACCCAGCAGCACAGTCTCCTCAGCCAGCAACTGCTGACAGCAGCCAGCACCAACAGTGACAGCACAGTGTGAGGAACACCCGGAGCAGCTCCGGTTGGGTGTCCTCTGGAGGAACAGGCAGTGCTCTCTGTGCCCAGAGCAGTGGGTGCAGCCCACCAGCACAAGTGGAGGGCAGCCTCGGCACCCTGCACCACGCAGAAGGGGCTGCAGGACCAATGCTGGGCCCAGCACTGACAGATGTCACAGTGTGAGCCAGCACCTGTCTGGCACCGGAGCTGCTGGGAAGGATGGGATCTTGCCACAGTCCTTCCCCTCCAACACACGTTTCAGAGTGACCTCATTTGCAGCACAGCTCAGCTGCGCTCCTCCAAGAGCCTAAGGACAGACTATGGCAATTGATGTTGTCTACCTCTGGGGATAGCTGTGCTCCTTTTAACTCCCTCGGGCCCTCAGCACAGCCCTACATCCATCATTAAACATCAGATACACAGGGTAAGTCGGTGACCAGAGGCTGCAAAGATGGCAGTACAGCCTGCAGCCCCCTGTGCCAGCGCCCGGTCCCCGCGCTCAGTACTCACCCTCACACCGTAGCTTGTGCCCGGCTCCTCCGCACTCTCCCCGCTGGGCACGAGGCTCCCTCCCAGCCTGCCCACCGCCTCCGCCGCTCCCCGCCCGGCGCAGCCGCCCGCGGGCCTCGGGGTCTGGTGTGGCCCCTCCGTGCCGGGCTGAGGGTACGAGGCCGAGAGGCAGCCGAGCTCAGGCGAGGAAGGGCCGCCGGGGACGGTGACGCACTCAGTCAGTTTGGTCCTCGGCACCTCCTTGCTCCCCAGGCAGAAGCTCTTCAGGCCGGGCAGAGCGGAGGGGTTGGCGAGTTTAATGTTGGCCATGCGCGGGATCAGCGCGCACAGCGTGGTGCAGGTGTCCTGCGGACCCAGCGGGACGTCCTCTGCCAGCAGGCTGGGTGCTGAAGGGTGGGAGGAGGAGGAGGAACCTTTGATGTTTTGCGGCCCTTCGTCCAGAGACGTTACGGAGTCGTTCCTGAAGCGGCTGTACTTGGCCCTGTGCAGCATCCCCGGGTGTCGGAGCAGCCCCACGTACAGGACGTGTGCACCGAGGCTCTGCGGGCCGCGCTCTCTCATAGCCCTGGCAATTCGGTAACCGGAGCCTTGGGCACAAATCGCCTTTGTGGATAAATCAGACGGAAAGCAGGCAAGTCAAACAACGTTAAAAACAGAAACGTGACAGAGATTTCTGCCGATTCCCTCCCAAGCAGCGTATTTTCCTCGATGCGGGAGGCTTCCAGCCGCACGGCTCCGTGCCGTCCCACGGGCAGCGGCGGCCCACGCCCAGGAGTGCCACCCGAGCCCCTGTCCCCCCCTGGGACCGCGCACCGGGCGCTCACTGTCGCTATGTCACCGCCAGGTCTTGGCCGCAGCGACAGCCCGAGCGCGATCCGGGCAGAGCAGAGCAGAGCAGAGCACAGCAGGCGAGCCCCGCGCTCAGCCGCACCTCCAGACCATCCCGAGCCCCGCCAGGTGCGCGGCTCTCGGTGCCGTCATCCTCAGCTGCCCCCGCGGGGAAGCGGCAGCCCCGCGCCGCACCGCTCCTGCCCGCACACGCGTAAAGCGGAGCCCTCCCAGCCCGCAGCAGCTCTCAGCCTCGGGCTCGCCAATTCTTGCTCCAAAATCCTTCAGCGCCGGACGGCCGCGGGCTCGGTGCAGCCCCGCGCACGCCGTACCCTCGGCACGCAGCAGCGCCCGAGCCGCTCCCGCCACGCCGAGCCCCGGGCGCCGCCGCCGCTTTTATGAATGAAGTTTTTTTTTTTTTTTTGTGAATGAGCCTCGGCGCGTGCAGGCGGGCAGCGCCGTGAATGGCGCTCGGCGGGCGGCCGCGGCCCGGCGGCCCCCGGGGTGCTCCCGGCAGCCAATCGCCGCCCGCCGCCGGCTCACGCGCCCTCAGCGCGCGAGTGCGGGGGGGCGCGAGGCGGGAGCGCGGCGGGGCCGCGCGCGCCGGGACTCCGCATCTCCTGCGGCGCGCGGAGCGGTCACGTTGCTCCCGTTGCTCCCGTTGCTCCCGTTGCTCCGCTCCGTGCGCGAGGCTCGGGGCGCTGACGCCTTTGTGAGCGGCGCTGCACCTGCAGCCCTGACCTGAGGGCTGAGGGCCTCCGAACGGTGCTGCCCCGAGGCCGGTGAGAGGGGCGAAAGGACGCCCCTTCTGGGGTAGGGCGGGAGGGGACGTTAGGAAGGAAAAGAATAACACGGCGGCCCGTCCATCACCAATAGCCTCAGAGCTGTAGCCCAGGCACTGCACGGCCGCAGCACCAGCAGCCCCGCAGAGCTCTCGGGGCCCCGGCTGCAGGCAGCGGCGTGGCGCGGGAAGGGGCTTTTTTGCTTACGGCAGTAGGATGCACATACAAGCGTGAGAACAGAACCAGCAAAGAGCGGCATTGTCCGAGGAATATTAGCCAGGGAGGGAGTGGAGGGCAAAAGAAGAATGCCTTTGTCGATTAAAAAGCTAATTTTCTCAGGGCTACAAACAAGATTTCTGCTGAAGATGCTGGGAATCCAAGCTCCAACCTCCCTAAGAACAAAGCGCCTTTAAGCACCGGCACAACCGAGCCTCCAGAAGCCGGGCCTCTGCCTTGTGTGAGGCCCACACGAAGCCCGTGGGCGCCGCTCACGCTCGGTCTGGCTGCCTGCGTTGCTCAGGGCCTCCGAGTGCCTGCAGTCTTCTGACCCCATCCCACAGTGCTGCCCCGCGGGGGAGCTGCCCCGCACCCACTCTCATGGGGCTCGGAGGCAGCAGCTCCGTGCTTCTGAGCCGGGCCTGCACAGCAGAGCTCTGCACCTCCCTCAGAACATATGTAGCAAATGGAGGATTCCCCCCACCCCATATAAATAGCAGCGGCGGTGTTAATTCATGCAGACGAGCACCGAGCTCACACTGCACACATCCCCCTTGACACGCATGGCTGCGGGCAGAAAGGAGCCCAGCACTGCTTGCAGCCAGGTGTGAGAAGCTGCAGGCAGCTCTGCAGTGTGCTTCTGTGCGTCCCACTGCTCTGCAGCCAGTGGCCACGGCCTGGCTCCAGCCCTGCGGGAGGAGGGAAGCAAAGGCAAAGCTCAGCTAAGCCCAAAAAAGCCTCAAGCTGAATCCCTGCAGAATTCCCCTCCCTACAAACAGGTTTCAGCAGCACAGAACTACAGCCAGCTTGAAAGGAAGTTGGAAATGATCACGCTCTTATAACATCAGGGGGCTCAGTATTTATGTGCCAGCACACAGGGAACATCAGCTCCTGTCGCATAGCTTAGAAGTGTTTTTCCAGAGGGCAATGCACTGGCACACATTTGGGAGGAACAAATGCAGCAGCACCACTGGGCCATCCTGCACTGCCTCTCAGAGCCCCCAGGCTGGGCACTGCGCTGCCATAGTGAATCTAAAGGGAAGCTGTGGTACAGGGACAGTTTTATTGCCTTTTCCTATGAATGTACTCCATCCCTCCACCATCAGCAGCACTCCTCCATGGGCTCAGCCCAGTTCTTGTTACCCATAGCTTCACCTCACCACCCCTAAGTGCCCTCGTGGTGAAGAGGCAGCAACACCTCAGCTGAAAGTACCATGCTGGAGCTGACGTTGCAAATACGGGCAGTGCAGCCCCCTCCATGCCCCGATCCATCCCCACAACATGAAGGGCAATGATGGCTGCATGCAGTGTGGTTTGGGTCAGGTATTTTCACCCATCACTGATGAAGACCCATCAGCACAAATCCGCCATGTGAGAGCTCCCATTGCTGCAAGTATATTTGCACTTAAGGCCTTCAGTGCATCACTGACAGAATTTTTTTTGCAGTGGTTGTTCTGCTCTGTGCACAGCACTGCAAAGCATAATCCCCACTATGGTGTCATTAAAAATAACCATCAGTAGAAGCTGCTGAACATTTCTCAAACAGGGACAGAGAGGGAAACGTCTGTAAGGCTTTATGGTGATTAGCCTTGTTAATTCCATAGTACAAGTTACACAGGTTTCCAAAATCTGTCTTGGGTTGAGAAGATGTATGCAGAACTCAGGTTTGAGGAGCGATTCTGAGAGCAGCATTGCCTGCTCTCTAAGGTTTGTCACAGCAGCACTTTCAAGAGAGGACAACTGCAGAAGCAGAACTGAAAGAGGAGGCGAAGGCACAGAAATAGAAAACTCAAAATTACAGGATGAAGCCATGTCCTTTCTGAATTGCTACAAATATTCTCACCCGTAGGAGTTGCAAAACCAGCTAATGACACCGTTAGTAGCGGAAGCGTGAGCAGTGCCAGTGAGTCACTGCAGAACAGGGGGCAAGGTGCTCCAACACCCTGCTGCTTCCCAAGGTAGTGCAGACACTGAGAGAGCAGCAAAGGGAAGGCGACTCCAATTTTGGGAGTGCAAGAAATCCTAACTTGGGGGGGAGGTGACTGCGGTGAATTCCTCTTAAGTAGGAAAGTTACTTTCACCACCATATCCTGGACCTACGTCAGCCTGATGATCTCTGCGGGACGGCAGGTTCTTCTGTATTACATTTCTCTGGTTGCTGCACAGGATGCTGTGTGACAGAACGGAACTGAGCATCGTGCTGTGGGAAATCCCCCGCTCACAGACCACACAGAGCTGGGTGCCAGGGCTCCTGCTCACCACCCCAACCCGCCCCACCTGACCTCAGGAGAACCCAGTTGCAAAAACGACACATCACCCAAAGCCGTCAATTTCTACAATCATTTTTATTAGTTATGGAAGAATCCCCACTAGTATTTACATAGTGCAAAAAAGCTGTTATTACTCCAAAAAGTACGGTAGACAGAACAATTATCCTTCATACAGCAAAAAAAGAAATGGAACAAACCCCTTCATATTGTATTTTATAATTTTTCTACTGCTTTAACCTAAGTATTACCATAAATCTTTTAAGACATTAAAGATTAAACAGCTTTCCTAATTAGACTATTTAAAAGTAAAATATATGAACTATTGAACATTGAGAAGGTGGGCTGTGCCAACTGCATTTCTATTTTCACTGTTACCATTCATTGGAGTGGAAGCTTGGGGTTGAACATTCTTACATTTCCTTACATAGGCAGGGTGGGGCAGAGCCCTCTGTTACATATTTTTATGGCTTACATCTGCTGGTTTTTGTTTCATCAACTTATCGCCACGTCTCGCCTTGACATGGCTAACACTGAAACCAATTCAGTGGTTCCATTAGTTGGCACAACTTCACAGAAAATACTTAGTGACAGTTTCAGCAAACAGCAGCTTCTCAAACAATAATACTTTTTACAAATGCGTTTAAGGTAACATCATTAAATGTAAGCTCGTGTTAAAGAACCAGACAGAACCACACTGTGTAAGCTCCCTCCCACCCAAATGAGCATAAGGACCCCTCTTACCTTTACCATAAGAATACCAACAAGTGCATCTTTGAACATTTTCTATAATTTTTAACACACAGGTCAATACCCTCAGTCACTGCTCAGCTCCAATTGTACAAATACCCACACGCAGTCTGAGCAGAAGTGTCAGACTTCAGCCAGTGGCAGCAGTGCTCTTCAGTGCGTGCTGACAGGATCAGGTCCTGAACCTCTGTCATTTTTACTTGGCCCAACCAAGGACAAAAGCTCTTCAGTATTTTTCCCTTTCACATATTTGCAATCCACATTTCATGTCAAGAGATACTTGAAGTATTTATACAAATAGGTTGCATACATAGCCATCTCTATCAGCTTTAAAGATCCCTACCCCTACCACAGATACATTATTTTTGACTTTACCAGATAAATTAAGTGGTGAAATCATCTCTATAAAGAATGTCTTAAGAAAAGTAGATTCATTTTCTGGATAATCATTTTCACAACAAAAATATCTATATACCTATAACTACAGAAACACCTTCTCTTGGGAACCATAACAGCCTGTATAATAAACTGTGTACTTGTATACCAAATAGAAATTCAGCTACTTTAAAAAAAAGTCATGGTACTGTAAAACATTTTTATGCTTTTTTTTTTTCCCCCATTCCGGTGGCAATAAAAATCAAAGTTACCACAGTGAGATACTCTTCTCAAGTGCTTCAAGTGGTAAGGAACTTCCCTAAACTTAGATGCAAATGGATCACTCCCAGAGGAACTGCAGTTTCATTCCCCATTATTGCTCATTCCCAGCTTATCGAAAAGGAAGCACTAGGACCTGTTTCCTTTGCACCTTCCGTTTGCTCCTCCAAGGGTGATCTGCCACACTGAAAGAGACTAGTTCCTTATTTGCTGGCAAGTTAAGAGATATTAGAAGTGCTATGTCACCTTCAAGAACTATTAAATCTGTAGCAAAACTGCAGTTAAGTAGTGGGCTGAATATTACAAGTTTTTTCTTTTAATATATATAAATGTCAAAAAATCTTAAAATGACAGTCCAAGTTCAAAAAGACATACAAAAAGATGCATTTGATGCTAATACTTCAAGATCAAAAGTCATTTGAATCACTGGCACTGAAAAAGCAAATGGAAAAGTTACAAACATCTTTTTTTCTCTTCTGATGTTCTGCTTTGCCCTCAGTGTATACACCGATCCCAGCTGATGCTGAGACGTGCTTACACATCCAAGGGCAAGTTTTGCTTGTCAGCAGTTCAAACACCTATCATTTCCTAAAGCAAGAACTCTTTGCAAACATACAGACAGAAGTCTGCCATACAGAGAGTGAGAAGTTTAACATTCAGGAGGCGTCAATCCTCAGTCTTTGTTTTCCTACAAAATGCCTGTTCTAGCATCTAGGAAGATTACATTAA